GTGATCAGCATCAAGTTTGAGGGCTAGTGGCGTTCCCTGATCACCACCTCACGATACATCTGGCACCAGGCACACGAATAACAGCAAAGTACATTGATGACATCATCAGTGGCAGAGCCCTACAGGATGGAGAAGAGGAAAAAGAGAGGGCTGTTCAGACAGATTTTTAATTAGTTTGGAGTATCTGCTCTGTGAATAATAATAATGGATTGCATTTATATAGCGCTTTTCAAGGCACCCAAAGCGCTTTACAATGCCACAATGCCACTATTCATCCACTCTCACATTCACTGTGAACTAGATATTTCTTCTTTGAGCTCTGCTAAGAGCTCCATGATGCTGGGCATTACATTTTACAACCAAAAGGTGAATAAGGCAGTCTTCAGTAGTAAATAATATAAATTTGGAGACTTTTTGGGGTGTGTGTGGATGCAACTGACTAATGTGATTTTTAACTCCACCCTCTCGGTCACCCTTCAAATATGGTTATTTCTGGCTATAATGCTCAAAAGAAAAGCTTTAAAATGCAGAGTGGCCAAATACATCTCTTTTATGCAGTGCATAGTCCCGCTCCATCTCAAACCCAGCCTTACTTCGATGTTGTGGCGCTCTCTGATGGACTGACGGAGTAAGCAGGACACCACACCACAAACATCCAGCAGTGGCATTGCGCACCACCATCCATGCTTACTGGCTGTATGACACTGCATACAGGGGAAACACCAAAGGCCGTAGCAACCTTGAGGGAGGAAAATGTGCAGCAATGCAGCATTAGAGTATCGGTGTTTACTGTAGTTTATAATCACTATATATCAAAATGTCAGCGTGAGCAAGGATTGTTTTCTAAAGAGGTCATTTGTTTTAGAACTTTCTTTGGCTTCTTTATTTTTGTTTTTCCAGGATTTTTAGTTTTTTGATGCCACCAATGAAAATAAAAAAGTAGTAGTTTGGCCCTCGTTGAGTTTGATGCAGTGTTAATGCAAAGTGTTTCATGCACATTATTACATTTCTTGCTCTCATATGAAAATCTGACTGGTGCTCTGAGCGGTGTACCAAGACGAGGTACACATTCCTGTGAAAACCTTCAATAGGGTGAGAAGCAGCCAAGTGTTGTTAGTCAGATGTGCTCGATTAACAGTAAGACTTTACCAAATTGCACTCTGATAGTCGTGTTTTTGTGGCCTAAATGCTGCAGTGTAGCTGCTGTGTTGCAATTCTAAAAGGCCAATTTAATGTAATGCAATGCCTGGAAATCATTCTGTTGGTCCTCAGGCAGCCAGACTCCTGTTCAGAAACCCATGCAGTCACGAAACGAGGCCATCAGAGGCCAAAAACTACTCGCTATGAGACAACAGTGGTAACCGCTCCACAGCTGTGCTGCCTATGCTTTTAAATTCCCATAGTGTTGTGATATTTTGATACCATGGTAGCATTTACAGGATATTGTTTTTGATGATATTATACAAAGGACCCTGTCTCTGCAATGCCCTTTGTTTGAACCTCATTTCCTCTTGCTGTGTCAACTGAAGATTTTATGGTGTGAAAGTAGATACTAAGGTTGGAGGGAAAACACCAACAAATCACTCTTTTACTTATCACTCCCTTGCAGAAGATGTTTATGTGAAGACCATCTGGGTTGTGTCAGAATTCACGGATGTAGGAGACTTCTGTGTAAGATTTATAGGCCTTGTGAGTGCATTTTTATTGCCCTTGCTGAACAAAGGATTCCCACTGTCGGAGGACACCACCCCACCCAGTGGGCAGGGTCTGAACTAAAACTTGTTGTCTGCCTATAAAAACTGCTGCACAAAGAATAAACTTTGAGTTAGTTTGGGATGACAATTTAGAACAGTCTCCGCATCTTTTTGTTCTTCCAAACTGCTCCCGGTACTCCGGCCTGTACCGTAACTAACCGTTGATCATGCTTGAGAATATTTTAATTGTTATAGGTTAAGGGATGAACTTTGATGATGAAAGCCCACGCCTCAGAGAAACCCGGAATGGAGTTTCTTACACATAGCAACAGGGAAACTTAATCTTCTGTATGTATAAGTGGACAGTGTCAAGAAAAACATGTTATTTTACTGTCACTTTGTTATCATTTACATGCACTGTCATTATTTCATCATTACTTCATTAGTCTGTATTACTTATCTTCAGTTTATCATGTATCATTTATCATTTATTTCAGAGCACGCAGAATAGAACACATTTTAGATACAATACTCTATCATGTGGTGAAAAGCACCAGCAGAAGCTGCAGGTCCAGGCGGCCTACAGCAAGTCAGTTAAGGAAAGCGACCTCTTGTTGGCCTGGACCTACACTCTCACACAAAACTACACACTGTACACAACTTGGTTATCTTCCCAGATAGCGATGATAGGAAACATCTGGTTTCAATCCTGGGAAAGGGTTGTTGTTTTGAGAAGGGGAATTCCAGCATTTCTCTTGACGTCATTGTTAGGTATTTTAGTACCATGGGAGCATTTACTGGATATTGTTTTAGTGACATTATACAGGAAAACTCTGTCATTCAATAAGGCCCCTTTGTTTTAGTTATTTTTCTCTTTGACCCAAGAATTGATGTGTGAGAATCACAGGCTGGTACAAGGTTGAAATACCACAGAGATCACTCCCTCAGCTACATTAGTTTCTAAATCTCTTAGGAGACGCCTGTTGAAGGCCAGATGGTTTGTTTCAGAATTCACTAATGAAAGAAATCTTTGTTTCGTGCCTTGAAAATATGTCGCTGAGATAATCATAATTGTAGCTGAACTGATACACTACACAAAGGATGCTTCTTCACCCAAGGGCAGGAAGACGCTCCCTTATCTTGGTCTGTACTGGTTTAAACTGATAATCTGCTGTCTCATGAATTTTACCCTCTATATAAACTGTTGTACTTGTGAATAAAGTTGAGTCGATTTGGGAAGACAACCTGAAGCAGTCTCTGTTTTCTTGTTCTCCCAAGCTGCTCCCGAGCTCGTACTAACACGCTGAATGGCATGCTTGAATGTTACTTGAGAATATATTTGACTGTGTTACAGACTAAGGGACAATCTCTGCTGATAGACGCCCACGCCTCGAAGGAAGTCGATCCACGGATTAGGCCCTGGAAACCGTTTCCTTCAGTCATAAAGCCTATAAAGCTTTCTGTATTGAGCAGAGAGGAGAGATCGGCTCCCACACTGTAAACTGTGTGTGTTTAATAAATCACTTTTTGGACACTTCCGAGGACTCTGCTTCTGCTTATCTTTCCTTCCAAATAAAAAGAACCTGACAACAGTTTTATAATTTAGATAAATTTAGATATTTTGTCAACATTCTTGAATTGTCTGAAACAAAGCCTGAGGACATGGTAGAAAAATTACTGCTGTTTGTTTGCTTTGGTTTGCTGGGAAGACTTACAGGTTTTCATATCAGAGGTGCAATCTAAGAGCTCGGTGCTCCATGCTCCAGAGCGGGGGGATAACATCCCCTGGGTGGGCTGCTGGCGGACAGCCATAACTGGAGGAAACAAGCCAGGAATGGAGACACAGAGTGAAACTTTATAGCAGTTACAAACTAGCGCTAGAATACAATAGAGATAACAGACTGGTTTAAAGCATTATTGTCTACAGTGTGGCCATTATTACACGTATAACAAGATGTTTTCTGTTTCATGCAAATCATTAAAAATACCCGGAGTGACATGTACAAATAATTTGTGTGCAGTACAAAACAGTTCAATATGCAATGAATTACATGATTTATATTTTTTTCTTCCTAATTTTGTCTTTTTTTGTGCATGTGGGTCTGGAAGGCTTTAACATTTCCTTTAGTTCCAGCATCTCATGCATAAACTGTTTCATTACTACAGGTTATACTGAAATAGTAAAATCGATTCACATAGATTGCTGTATTTAGCTCATCAGTATAAAAAGCTTCTCTTACCTCTTCTCTGGTTCTCTGAGCTTTGAAGAGAAAATGGGGAAAAAAAGGGCTGAAACCAGAATTTAACTCCGACTAAGGGAGGGGAGGGGACACATACACAAACACACCTCTAGCTCAGCAGTGTTACAGCCCTTTTAGTTTAACACTTAAATTTGATGTTAAATGGATACTGAAACAATCAATTAAACCAGCTAGAGCCTTCAGCTGTCAGGTCTCTCTTCTGTGGAACCAGCTCCCAGTTTGGATTCAGGAGACAGACACTCTACTTTTAAGATTAGGCTTAAAACTTTTCCTTTTGATAAAGCTTATAGTTCGTGCTGGATCAGGTGACCCTGAATCCTCCCTCCCTGCTAAGTGTCTCGAGGCAACTGTGGATATGATTTGGCGCTATATAAATAAAACTGAATTGAGTTGAATCTGTTAAAGCAGCCCAAACATTTGAGTATAACAGGCAACCACGTATACTAGATCCTAGTTACAGACAGTTCAATGAGTTAAAAAAAAAAAGTGTAACAAGGCTGCATCAGCATGCAGAGACCAGGCCCGCGTAGATGACCAGACAGGTAGCTCACACAACACTTATCATGAACACTTATAATGAACTTCACCTCCTGTCATTTTATCCCAGCTTACAGCTTCTCGAAACCTGGGATGTCCTCCTCTGACCTTTCCCCTTCGCTTTCGATCAAAAACATAATCTATAAGAAGTTTGTATTTTTTGAAGTTTTCATTTTAGCCAAATTCAAAAAATAAATAACTATTAACAAAATCATGTTACATGTTTCTTTCATCCACAGTCCTTAAATTATCTAAAAAAACATCTAAACATAAAAGCCTTTTTTTCTCCTGGATCTCAGAAGGTTATAAATGTGTAGTGGTTGATGAGACTGGGCAGGCAGTTTTACTGTCTGGTGTGGGTAGTGAGAGGCTCACAAAGTAATTTCTGCAGAACTGGAGAAATGAGGTGGGCATGTTTCAACGAGTGGAAAGTCTCCTTTCAGTAAATCCTGCCCTTCATCACACCAAACAAAACAATTAGGCATTAAGAGATTGCAACTCTTTTTATGCAGAAACTCTACTTGGCCAACATGACAGAGAGAACCTATCAGAATGAATTAACCAATCAATGCTCTCCTCCCATCCCGTTTCAATAAAGTGATGCAATCAGCAGAAGAGCTCTTAAAGTTCTGACACGTGGAAACATGACACAGGAAATGCACAAACTCATCTTATCCAAAGACTTATTGAATTAAAATGCTGAACATATTGCCATTAAAACTTTATGTTAGTCTTGTTACTGCCGAAAGAGATACTGAGTGAATGATAATGTTTGTTGGGTGTTTAAATAAAGCCATCTTTCACAAATATGTTTATAATATCAGCCTAAAAGATGATGTGTTGAGGGAGTTTACATATGCTTTCCATTCGCTTCATATGACCCTAAGGTCACCAGTAGCGTCAGTCTGCAGATGTGATTGGAAAGACACTTTAAACCACCAAATGCTGTGCTGTTCATCACCTTAGCTCCGACAGAGTGCTAAATAAGAGCTGACATTAATGACAAAATTGTATCACCTTGTACTAAAGATTACTAACAGATATGATGGAGAAGGAAAGGAGGCTGTGCCAACATCTGTTCTGCTTTAGAAGGCAGTGTCCGGCTGTACAAGGGAGCCCGCCAGTCATTTATGTTTAACCTTATATTAATCTCTGCACTCTGTTCATTGTT